TGAGCTTTACGAGGGGATCAACTTCTCGAAAATCGATCTTAAATTGGGAGACTACCAGATCAGGATGAGTCTAGTAGATGTGCAAAAGACAACATTCATGACACATGAAGGACACCACGAGTTCTTGGTGATGTTGTTTGGCCTCACCAACACTCCGACCACATTGCAGTCCCTCATGAATAGGGTTATTTAGCCTTACCTCAGGAAACTCATCCTGGTGTTCTTCTACAATATTCTGATATACACTAATACAGAGACAAAGCATGTGGAACACCCATGGACAGTTTTAGAGAAGTTGAGAGAGCACAAGTTGTACGCCAATTCAAAAAAGAATTTTTTTTTTTGCACAGCTACAGGTGGAGTACTTGGGACATATGTTAACCAGGGTAGGAGTAGCACCAGACCCATCCAAGATTGAGGCTATGATGGACTGGCCTTTATCCAAGAGACTGAAGTAATTGAGTGGATTCTTTGGTCTCATCGGATACTATCAAAAATTTGTCAAGCTCCTCGCCAACACAAGTGTGGGATATAAGAGCAAAATGATTATGTTGTTGTAGTGATGAGAAGTATGCCCCCGACCACCATTGTAAAGAAGGCAACCTTCATAATCTTTAGTTCAGAAGGAGAGATGGTGAGGAATTAGAGGAAGACACGGTGGAGGAGTATCTACACTTTGATGTTGCAGAGGTGTACCTCAATTTAGTAACAGGATTTACTCTGAATCACACCATGAAAGTGAGGAGGCAAATTGGACCGATTTTAGTGTTGGTGGATAGCAGGGCCACACAAAACTTTATCTCAAATCAGGTCGTTGAACAATTAGGATTGGAACTGGTGACTATAGAGCTTCAACATCATGATGGAGAGAACATCATGATAGATAATTTGATTCGAGAGATACTCGAAGTAGAGATTATCAACCCCAACATGAGCCCCTTCTCTAGTTTAGTCCTGTTGGTGAAGAAAAAAGATGGTAGCTAGAGGTTCTACTCGGACTCTCGAGCATTGAATAAGGAAACGATGTTGGATAAGTTTCACATTCCTATGATTAATGAGTTACTAGATGAGCTTTACGAGGGGATCAACTTCTCGAAAATCGATCTTAAATTGGGAGACTACCAGATCAGGATGAGTACAGTAGATGTGCAAAAGACAGCGTTCATGACACATTAAGGACACCACGAGTTCTTGGTGATGTTGTTTGGCCTCACCAACACTACGGACACATTGCAGTCCCTCATGAATAGGATTTTTCAGTCTTACCTCAGGAAACTCATCTTGGTATTCTTCTACAATATTTTGATATACACTCGTACAGAGACAACATGTGGAACACCCGTGGACAGTTTTAGAGAAGTTGAGAGAGCACAAGTTGTACGCCAATTTAAAAAAAGATTTTTTTTTTTTGCACAGCTACAGGTAGAGTACTTGGGACATATGTTAACCAGGGCAGGAGTAGCACCAGACCCATCCATAATTGAGGCTATGATGGACTGGCCTTTATCCAAGGGACAGAAGGAATTGAGTGGATTCTTAGGTCTCATCGGATACTATCAAAAATTTGTGAAAAGGTACAACACGATAGCATGACCACTAACGGAGCAACTAAAGAATGACAATTTCAAGCGGGGAAAGACGCAACATAGACCTTCAAACATTTGAAGAAGGTCATGACCAATATACCAGTATTAGCACTTTTAAATTTTAGGCGATCAGCTATGGCAGAGATAGATGCATCATGGTATGATTGAGAACAATACTCATGCAAGACCAGCGACCGACTGCTTACTTCAGCCAGGTGCTGATCGTTAAAGCAAAGCTCAAGTCGATATATGAGAGGGAGTTGATGGCTATTGTTTTGGTCATTCAGAAGTGGTGCCCCTACATTTTGGGATGACACCTTCTTGTCATAATAGATCAGAGAAGCTTAAAGTACTTGTTGGAGCAGAGGATGGTGTATGAGGAGCATCAGAGACGACTATCCAAGCTACTCGTATATGATTTCGAGATTAGTACCGTCAGAGACTGGAGAATAAAGTTGCAGATGCCCTGTCAAGGAAAGGAGAGAGCCTTCGCTGACAGCCTTATCAGTACCCTTGATGAAAGGCTGAGGAAAATGAGTGCAGAGTTGCTACCAGATCCAAAAAATCATCCAGGATATGCATTGAGGCGGAGCAACAACTCTACCAGGGGTGGTTCGTATTACCGAGGACATCAAAGTACATTTCCTGATTATTGCAAATGTTTCACGACAGTGAAATTGGGGGACATTCTTGGGTATAGATGGCCTACAATCATCTATCGACAGAGCTTTACTTATTGGAGATGCACAAAGATGTAAAAGACATGGTGACAAGGTGTGATATATGCCATCGACACAAATATATGACTATGGAGCCAGGAGGGTTGCTACAACCACTAGCTCGACCAGAGAATGCTTGGGAAGAAGTGACCATGGATTTCATAAAGGGGTTGCCCCAATCAGATGGGTTTACGGTGATTCTAGTGGTCGTGGATCGCCTGAGCAAGTATGCTCATTTCATCCCATTACGACACCACTACACAACAGACTTAGTAGTGATGGTGCTCATACGGGAAGTGGTTCACCTGCACGAAGTACCATAATCTATTGTATCAGATAGAGACAAAGTGTTTATCAGCCACTTATGAAAAAAGTTGTTCAGGTTAGGGGGAACAGTCCTTAAGAGAAGCACTGCATATCACCCCCAAATCGACGGCCAGACAAAGGTGACCAACATGAGTGTGGAGACATATCTGCATTGCTTTGTATCAAATACGCCAAAATTGTGTCAGGTGTATTACGTGGGTAGAATATTGGTATAATGCTTCATGCCACACCGCAACACATACCACCCATTTCAAAATTTTTATGGGCGGGATCCACCTCAACTGATACACTACAAGCATAGTGTCACATTGATATCTAGTTTGACCATTACTTGGAGGAGAGGGACAGAGTATTAACAGAGCTCAAAGGACATCTACTGAGAGCTCAATAGATCATGAAGGCGAAGACAGATAGGCATAGGATGGAGATAGAATTCGAGTCCGGGAGCATGTTTTACTTAAAACTGACGTCATATGGCAGAAGACATTAGCGAGGAGGAGGAACGAAAAAATTTCTCCATGATATTTCAGACCCTACGAGATTACGACACGTATTGGGGCAGTGACCTACCGTTTGAGGCTACCCCCCCTCATCGACAATACATCCTGTGTTTCATGTTTCTTAACTGAGGCATGCTATCAGAGATCATACACCATCGCTTCACTACTCCTGACATTGACAGATGACATTGAGGTTGTTATGGATACAAGCGACACCCCTAGAGAAGAATCGGTCCAGAGAGGACCAGTCTGGACCAACCAGCCCACGGAAAACCAGCCAGCGGCCGGTCTAAGCCAATCAGTCAATGATTGGGATGCAGGAGGAGATCCAGACGCCCAGGCAAGAATTATGCGACCACTGCTCAAGTATAGAAGGAAATTAAGAAGAATTTGGGGAGAAAAAGTTTTGAAAGGATCTAGGAAAGTATTTAGGAGAATAAAGAGGTTATGGTTTGCAGGGATGTTTTTGGCTATAGTTTTATTCTTTTCTTGTGCTTGCTCCTAGCGACGTCTAAAGTTGTGGGAGAGATGATCTACCTCTCGAACAGTAGATCATCATTGCATCTTGTTTTCCTTTGATTTTCGTAATAGTAACCCTCATTTGAGTTTTTCCACCTATTTATTGCCATTTCATCACTTATCTATTGTCATTTCATCACCGCTTGCTTGCTGATTTTGGTTTCAGATCGTAACACTTCCATATTCACATACAACTCTCAAATCTTTAATATCACATAAAAAATAATATTATTATTACTTTTTAAAAGTGAAATACACATTTTCATGCATAGGTTTAAAACACCAAAGTGTTATGTATGTAAATATGAAAGTTTAGGGGTGAGTTATTGAAAAACATAAGAATTTTGTGCTACATATGTACATTTCCTTTAATGTTTCAGAACTTTTTTGCCAGACATTTGACAGACTAGGAGATTAGAGGTTTGGAAGTGAGTTTACTAAAGTATTTTAATTCTATTAGCTATGCAACTAGACTATTATTCATACCGCACAATTCTTATGTATTTACAGATTCAACACCTAAACTTAGATATTTAACTTATATAACAATTTACACTCAAAATCACATCATAACATATGCATGAAAAGGTGCATTTTACTCTAGAAAAGATACTATTAGTGGCATTTTTTTTTGTGATGTTAAAGATTTGTAAGTTATATAAGTTACTATCATAGTTTAGGTGTTGATATGTAAAAAACATAAGAATTTAGTGGCATGCATGTAAATCCCTTCATGCAAACAAAAAGGTATTTTTAAGTACTGTCATGTAGCAGGTAAGATTAAGAGATTAAGGAAAATTTTGGGATTAATAAGTATTTGATTACGCAAATTCGTCATAATTACTCAATCCGTTTGCATAAGCAACAAGCATTTAAGAATGCTATATAAACTTAAATCTCTATAAAAAATAAGACGGTAGAAAATCAATTAATAAGGTTTAGGCATATCATCATGTTCAAAAGAACAAGATTCTAAAAAAATCGAGTATAAAGAGGAGAAATGGTGGATCAAAGGTTAAGAAGATTTTTGTAAAATAAAATGATGGGATTTTCTTCATAAATAGAGTAAAATCCATTATTCCAGTAAGCCAGCTGCAATCAAATAGCCCACAAACGATTGGATGACACTTTGAAAATCCTGAAAAAAAGATTCAGCCGAACAATTATGGAAACAGAAAACCCAAAACACTCATTATCCACAACATCATTTTAAACAACCAAATCCATCAAACTAATATATAAAAAAAGATCAAAAACTAAAACAAAACAATTCTAAATCCAACCCAGTTGAAAAGAATCTCCGAACTAAAAATCAAAAGCAAAATAGCTGAGATGAAACAATAGCTTACCTGCATCGATGACCGCATCCCAATCAGTCTGCCCACTCTTCTGAAACTGCATCAAATCCCATGTCCCCCCAAGCCATCTCGGATCCTTGAAAGTCAAAACCTCCGCATTGGCAACCGCAACCCCATTCGAACTCAGAGAATCCTCCCCCTTGTCCTTCACCTCCACGCTTTTCTCTTCCTCAGGAAGATTCGTCACCTTCACTTTCTCCTCCACCACAGCGGAGCCCGCCGCCCCCGCCCCCTGCA